CAACACACACACAAAAAAAAATTAAACAAAAAATAAGTTACTATGATTAATCTCAATACGTATAAGGAGAAATATGTTTTCACTCCTTGTTTGATTCTGTAAAGATATTTGGTCCAAAAAAATAAAATAAAAATAAATACAAATAAGTAATTACAATTTAATCTTGAAATAATGTCATTTTCCTGAATTAATTATAAAGTTTGAATTTTCATATTTAGATTTTGGCATTAAATAACGAAACTAACCAATCAAAAGATTGTTTAATTTTTATTCATTTTTTTTTTCTTTACCAGTTATTGTTCAGACTTGAGTAGTTAGCATACATGCATAGATACATACATAATCAGCAAAATTATTTTGTCATTAGTCTTTTGTAATCAACTCATTACAAATTCTGCTCTTGGATAAATTTGGCTTTTCAAGCTTCAAACTGACACAAGACAAATTCAGAATGACGATTAGATTCTTTCAAAAGTCACACATTTTCTCTTCTTCATTGAAAGACAACAAATATGATGACTTATATAAGGTGTGTTCTTTTGTTAATTGTAATGAAAGAACTACAAAACACATCTACACACAAAAACAGAGACGTTTTAGATTCAAAAGTTAGACACAAGGGTTATAACAATGTGATTAAAAAAAAAAAATGTTAGAGATTCTGAACACCAAAAGAAAATCCAGAAAAAAAAAAACAAAAAAAACACAGGTCAAGGGATTTTTCTTTAAATAAATAACAGTTTGTCTCTCGGTTATCAAAAAGGCAGCACCCGATAGTCTAGACTAGGGGTGCACTAAATGACCAATAATTGCTAATTGTAATTTTTCATAATTTTTATTTAATTACACTAAAGTAATTAAAATAAACCCTCTCAGAATCTTACTTAAATTCATTCTATGTCTAAGATAACTGATGATTCTTTTACAAAGGATGAAAATTCTGTGATTTCAGAAACAAGAACAATTGAATATTAGAACCAATTGATCAGTAGAAAAAACAAAGTTGACACCCAATTAATCAGAAAATGCTGATAGGACAAAATATTTTATATTATATGCATGATAAGTGGAAGAACTAAATAACATAAATAAATTGGTACAAAATTAGTTTTGACCAAGTAATAAAGCAATGGACAGGTAGCTGAAAGAGTTGGTCTTTGTTTTATTTTTTTTAATCATTTAACCCCATGCAAGACAATAAAGCCACTAAGACAAAAGGAGTTACTGAATGATAAGCATTATTAAAGAGCCAAAACAATAAAAGATAAGTAATCAAAAAACAGTAGATAATAATTGATTTTGCTTTGAAGTTTCTGAAGATCAAATTTTGTTACAAAGTATAGGAGCCAGAAGAGAGTTTCACAAGCGAGAAGTGCGATAGAAGAAACTGTTAGCATAGAACTTGCGGTTACATCTTTGCCAATTCAACTGTAAATTAATGAAATCTTGTTGACAATCTAGTACCATAGTGGAGAATTGATCCAAACAGTTACCATGAAAACTGAGATGCCAGGTCAGAACCAATAACATTGCTGATTCTTTGGATTTTATCAAGAATCTCTAAAGAGGAGCATCGGACCATATGTGGCAGTAATATTCAAAGCATAGACAAATGCTAGACTTATAACTATGGAAGATAGATTCTGAGGAGAAAAAAATGTCTAGTAAGACACAGTGAACAAGCTTTATTAACAGCTGACCTAGCAAGGGATTCAACATAATCTTTTCACTTCATGTCAGCCAAGAATGTTAACTTGATAAGGTGAACAAGTTACTGTGCTATAGGTTAGCATCAGCCATGTTGATGTGGGGTAGATAGGACTCTCGGATAATTAATAGACAGAAGCATAACCATTTCAATAAGATGATTTACATTTTTTATTTAGCCTAATTTTTCTCCTCATTTACAAGCATGCCAACTTCAACCTGATCAAAGACTCTTCCAATTGTCTATATTGATATTTAGAAACAGAGAGAGTTTAGTTTAAATTCCATAATTCAACAATTTTTTTTTAATTAGTCCTTAAGCTAGTGTAACAGGACACTGGCCCTGTTCAACATTTAATTATATGAAATCACTGAATGGTGATCTGGAAGGACTATGAACTGGATAATAATTATTAAAATTCTTATAAGAATAGATTGATAGTTTGCGAGAAAGATGGACAAAGAAATGAGTTAATAATTTTGCTTTAAATGATAAAATGGATTTAAGAATGGTTCCAAAGAGAGTAAAATTGAGTAAAACCAAATATTCCTCTAATCTCTCCACTTCCCTCTGATAAGAAGAAGACATGATTAATGTGTTGTCCTATTTTCCTGGTCTTTTTACCTCAAATTCAGGGTTTGTTTAAATTAATACTATCAACCCAAATTGCTTATATTCTTACAGTAAAAGAGTGACCTAAATTCTTAAATAAAGAAAGCCACGTGGTTTTGTAGTTGATTTGTAGTATTTCAAGTTCAAAGTAAGATAGACTGTTTGATAATCAAAAACACTGTAAAATCAAAGAGGGATGCAGAAGGAAATGTTGCAACCAAGAATCGTACATCCAATATCAAGAAATCTCAGCACATGTTGTTCCCTTATCAATCCACTGCGCCATTCAAACCATCTGATTCAAAAAACTGTGTCCTTAAAAAAACATGCTTTTCATTTATATCAGTTATTACATGCAAATATTGCCCATACAAATCACCAACAATTTTTTTTAAGTCTTTGTCTTGCACATGGGCCATGACAGAATTACAAATGGCAACCATGACTGCCCCTTGGTCTCACTTCACTACAGGTTTATGAAAAGATTCCTGAGAACCAGATTTTAGAAGTTGTCTACATTAATATGATTTGCCAAAAGCACGTGTATCCTTACAGAAACACATTGATAGAAATTCTTTAAACTAAGGAAGCCATGTGGTTTATGAAAAGGCCATTGGGAGTGGAAAAATTAGATATATCAATGTCAAATTTTAGGGAGGGTGGTTATCTATAAAAATAAAGTGCAACAGGGACCCAAAAAGAGAGCTGTCAGAAATTTGCTCCAGGTTGCATCATGGACCACTGTTGCCTCACAAGAATGCACCCACATTTCTGTGGCTGAAATGAACACACAGACATGTAGAGCAGAAGAGTTAAGTGAGTGGCAACAGTGCTAGACTTGTTTCAACAATTACCGTTATATTTGTCAGGCCATCATCCAGCCAGGTAGAAATTAGTCCTTCAGCAGATAATTGAAATGCATTATTCGCCAGTTTTAATATTCAATAAACATGTTGTTAGAATTATCAACAGTGTTATTGATTATATTGAAGGAGTTCTTATAGCAGCGCTGATTCCCAATCTTTTCCCAGATTCAAGGAGAAAACTTACCATGGCCGCAGTTGAGAATTGCCCATTTTCTTATCTGTGGTACACAATGTACATTTTTGAAACCCAAATCAACCCTACTGAGATAACATACTGGCCCCAACCGAGGAGGGAAAAGAAAGCTGGATGGACTGTAAGGTCGGTGTTACTCAGCAAAGCTAGTGGACATAATGACTAAAGAAGAAAGGGGTTGAGGGTAACGCTAGTTCACTGATATTTTCTCAGGTAAAACCTTCAATATCAAAAGTATTGCACACACATTTTGGTTATACTGTAAACAACAGGACCTTTGCCCAGCTTTCAACTAACTGGCCAGTGAACCCCACCCCCACCACGCCCACAATGTTGCATCTCCATTCTCGTTCATGTTGATATGCACCAATCCCAGATGGGAAAAGTCTGTTACACATTGACAAGGAAACAAAAGAGGAAAACAAATGCCGTGTCAAGAACTTGAACACTGTTTCCAATATTATAAAATAGATGCTTTATTTGGGATTTGGTTTGAGGACAACTTCTGTTATGTCTTCCGTCCTCCTGACTCTTTGCCTATCTCAAAATCATGACATATGGCTGGCAGTACAAGTGGCAATAGAACTGCCCAAAGGGGTAATCTGCCACCTCCAGAACTGACCTCCTCGATCATGACTGTGACTTGATATAAACAACTTGAAACTCTATATCCGGTTTGTTGCCGCTTGACCTCAAATGTAGTTTTTTTTTTTTTTTTTTTTTTTTTTTACTTATTTGTCCTCTTGTTCCACTTCAGTCAAGTGGGTGCCACTTAGAAGACCCGCCTTCAAAGACTATTTGCTGGCCACAAAACAGAAATACTTGAGATCAAGATAAAAATCAGACTTCTATGTGGGTGTCCCTGTTTATAGTACCACAATACACATCTGTATGTACTTGGAGTAAGAAGCCTGGATAAACCTACAGAAACTTAAAGACAGTTTTAAAAGTTTTATTTATTTTAAATAATAGTGCTGATAAATTCTCACCCCCCCCTAAAAAAAAAAAAGAAAAAAAGCTCATCCAATTTGAGAAGACTGCACTTATTGAATTTTATGGTTGCCTCTGATTGAGGAATTGGAGAGTCAAGTTTGAATTCCAATTGAATCCATTACATTCACTTATGTGCTAATACCCTTGGGAAAGGAATGAATCCTCTTCTTCTCCCCCCACCCACCAACTATGGGTAAATAGCAGGACAGACCGGGTTCTATAGCATTGGATAGCAACTGGTCTACCGCAGAAAGAAATGGCAACCTACCGCGGGGAAAAAATCTGCCTCATCAGTCATGTATCAAAAGATACATGATTGCCTAAGCATGTATCATGCATTATGAGACATAACTGAGTTTGATGCACTGTGAGTCACAGAATACTTGACTACAGTAATAAAAGGAGACAATGAGTAGATATTTCTGCTTTGTTTTTAGGATGAATTCTTAGATTTTTTTCTTTTCAACATTCTTTTTTCTTTTACCCAATCTCAAGTCTAATTTTTTCATCCTAATTATATTCATTATCTTGTTTCTCTCCTTCCTAGATTTTTCATCCTCATATTTCAGTTTGTGTAATAAAAAGCAGATTTGTTCAAATTAAAAGATTCGTAAAAAGATTCACTTACTTCACTTGAATTCCAACAGGTTTCATCCTTTCCGTCAAATAAATATTTCTTTCCGTATTGTTTCACATCTTTGTTTAGCACAGAACTGACACTAAAAAACGAGCACATTTAGGAATAAAAATTAGAGATAAAATAAAACTAATAAATTATTATAAAGGGTGTCCAATAATGATGGCACCCAGCAAGTATATCTTGGTTTATAAAAATCAAAGTGCTCCAAATATATTACATAACTGATATACAAGAGTTTATCTAAGATTCTTCTATTTCCTACAGGTATTTGATATCTCTTTTGTTGACAGTGGACCCTTGTAATACCATAGAACCCAAAAGAAATTGCACACATAGTGAAGTATACTTCACTAGTCAGAAACCCATTGTTTAATCTGTGTATCGACTGCAAAGAGTTTCACAATCAAACAAAGTTCTATCATGCTTTTAAAAACCTTTACAACTCTGCAGGTGTACATGTACACTGACGATATTCTTTCTCAATATTCTTCAGGAAGATGTGTTTGCTGAGTGACAGACCTTTGTTTCAAAGGGAAAGTACGTTTTCTAAAAATAACCTATTACTACAGAAATTACATCATTAAGCTTGTGATACAAACTGGGAATGACCAGATGTCAGCCATTTTGTTCTAAAAAAAAAAAAAAAAAAAAATGTTTTAAAAACATTCGTTTTTTGATCACAATGTGTGCTGGCACCATCATGCTTCCAGGAGTCCCTACCCCTGCTTTGAACATTATCATACTTTTGTCAATTACAAGGTCAATTGTTTGCCTGGATTACGCAATTAACAAATAGGCTTCTTAATAAAATACAAAATTTTCTTAATTTTTGTTTTTTTTATTTTTTTTCTCAAAATTTATTAATATGTACAATAATAATAAAAACAAAAACAAAACATGCTTACATTTTTTACATCCTTTAATACAAATACTCTGAAAATTTTATAACAATATCTCTAAAACTGTTTTAACCTAGGAAGGGTTACTGAATGAGGAATAACCAAAATGGAGTTTGGAAATAAAATGGTAATCTTTATAACATCAACAAAATACAATACTTGCCAGTGGTGTGAAGTAGGTAAACCACTGTTAGTGGCAGACTATTTAGACAGCATATTAACCCCCCACTTACAATAGTGTCCAATATATTTATGAGGATTGGGACATACCCATAAGTGTTCATAGGTACGTTATTAACAAAAAACCTAAAAGTTGCAGTGCTAGTAATATACCGATCATTCAAAAATTTACCGTACTCAAAATTAATATAGTTCCAGGGGACACAACTCTGAACATTACTGCAGAGTTGTAAAGCTCAAAGCATATTCACTCATTCAGATTTTCTCAAAAGTCATAACTGCTCAGTTTTAGTAACTGTAAACAAAGCAATTTCTAAAGAATATTATTATGGATATTATTTTTATTACTTTAAACATTATTTTTAGTGGATACTTGTATTTGAGTAGACATTCTGTTTATTTTAAACAAAGGTGTAGTGTAAGTTTGATTCCTGTCAAGGACCACATTTTCTTTAATAAGTTTTCTTGAATGTGCAGGCTGGTAGATGAAAAAAATACTATATCTATTCAAATACAGGTAAAAGTGATGTCTTTTTCCTGTTGCACATGGGTACGATAACCAAAATGCAGTAGTCATTATATTTACTTTTCTATGCTACATACAATTCCCACTGACAAAACAATAGATGCCGATTTAATGGGACATTAAATCCAAGAAAAATAATCATAATAAAAAAAAAGGAAATTTCATAAAAATTAGACTTTCTGCTTTCTCTATCAGAAGTTATAATCAGTATATGAGATAACAATATATAGATTTTTATATATCAAAACAACAAAAATAATTATAATTTAGAATTCCCAGCATCCTTCATTCATATACACATATAACAGATAACAAATTTAGTACAATCAAGTCTTAAAGGAGGAAACATGTCACATGAGAACATTTTTTCACTTCACCTAATATATAGATATATAAAATAATATAATAATACTAAAAATCTGTGCTTGCATGGTGCATCGCCTGTCTGGCACATAATGATTTAAGTTAATCTGATTTAAATGAGTAAGATTTAAAAATACAAGTTGTTTATACAGTAAATATTTTTATTGTAACTTTCTTCAAACAGACAATTTTTTTAACTTAAAGACAAACACAAAGAGATCCCGCTTTGCTGTTTCGTCCAGTTGTTTCTAGAGTAATTATTTATATTTCCACTTTCTTTAAACAAACACCGTTTGAAATATTTAAAAAATATTTTTCAGTTGATCTGATTTAAAAAATATTTTATGTGAATAAGATTTAAAAATGTCAGTTGTTTATACAGTAAATATTTTTATTTTAAATTTCTTCAAACAGACAATTTTTTTCATTAAAATATTTTTAAGTTAAAGAGAGACACAAAGAGATGCCGCTTTGCTGCTTTGTCAAGTTTGTAGAGTAATTATTTATATTTCAGCTTTATTTAAACAAACAATATTTTCAATATGTAAAAAATATTTTTTGGGATATTAAAAAATATTTTTAAGTTAATCTAATTCAAAGTTCAAGTTTATCCTGGAAGTTCTATTCCTGTTAAATGCTGTAAACAATCAGTAAAATGCTAAACATGAACTTGTAAGCCAGACAATGATGACACGAACAAATTGAAATATTTAACTGAATCATAAAATTAACTTTCATTTCAATGAAATGCTGAAATCAACTTCAATGTTTCCTAACCTGAATCGTCAGTGGTCCAATGTGTCACAGGCATCCAATATATATATATATATATATAAAGAGAAAGAACAGTAAAACATGTAATCCAGTGTTCTTATTAATATTTTTATTTTTACAAAACAGTGCTCAATGCAAATCTACAGAGCATAAATATTATAAATTTACTTATTTAAAAATATGGCTCCATCACTACACAGGAATTACCATGTTTCAAAAACAAAAACTAAAAACTTCAAATTCAATTATAGAATTAAATTAAAGTCCCTAGTCCTGTTTCAAGCAAATTTTGAAATAACTTATTTTAAAATTTACTGAGTTTTATAAGCACATACATTCATAATATAAGTCTCTAAGGACTTTAATTCAATTCTGTAATTGAATTTGAAGTTTTTAGTTTCTGTTTTTGAAACATGGTAATTTCTGTGTAGCGATGAAACCATATTTTTAAATAAGTATATATATATATATATGGTTGCCCGGTGGAGTAGTGGATAGCGGCTTGGATTGAGGAATCAAAGAGCTAAGTTTGAATTTCAGTTGAATCCATTACATTTACTTAGGTGCTAATACCCTTGGGAAAGGTATGAATCCTTTTCTTCTCTCCCCAGTTATGGGTAAATAGCAGGGCAGACTGGATTCTATAGCCTTGTATGGCAACTGGTCTAAGAGAAGGACAACTCTGAATCCAAAACCTGTGGAGGGTTGTTTGGGGACCTTGTGGCACACAAAGTCTGTATTCAGCCCTTCAAAAAGTGTGGTTGGTTCTGCACAAAGCCTTCACCATTATAATCAAATCATATGTGCAGGTATCTGGCTGTCGGTTCCTAGGAACTGAATTGCTTGATCCTCATACATCGAATATGATGAGATTGTCCAGCGCGCACACACACATATATATATATATATATATATATATATATATATATATATAAAACTATGTATAATTTTATATATCAACAGTATTTAGAAAAATGACAAACTGAAAATTTGTGACACACTTCATCCATCTGATGAAATGTGTTAAAAGAAATATTTTCCATTGTGTGTGTGTGTGTGTGTAAGTATATAAAAATTCTAATCAAAAAATGAACAGACATGACTTTGTGAGTATTTTTTACGTAAATATATCTTATTTGTTTTGTTTTCTAACTTTTACCAGTTGATTAAGCTCTACAAATATCAAGTTAGGATCCTATTGGGAATGTAAATCAAATTATCAATTCATTCTGGCATCTGTAGAATGTTTTACAAAGGCATAAAACTTGGCAAGTGTGAAGGTAGAATTTTACTATTTGATCAATTCACATCAATAAGAATTTAAATTGAATTTTATTTTATAAAAACATATCCTGAAGTCAGGGAGGGAGGAGGAGGAGAAAGAAACAGTTTTTTTTTTTATTTTTTATTTTTAATGCTTTGATTTTTGTCATGAGAAAAGAAAATGAATAAAAACCAGTGATTGCTTTGTTTTATTCTATGACATATTAGATTTATATTTATTTCATATTTTATTCTATGGTATATCAGATCTGCCATTCATCTATGCATTGAATATTGCTGCCACATTTGGCTTGGTGCTCCTGTTATATATCTTCAGACTCTAGACAAAATCCAAAGAATCTGCAATGTTATTTGTTTTAACCTAGTATCTCAGTTTCAATCACTTCCCAACTACTGTAAGCTTCTCTGTGTATTTTCTATAAATATTTTCATGGCAATTGTTCTTTGGTACCTTGACTTTGTGAATTCAAGAGTAGTACGAGTAGTACTAGATTGGCAGTTAGGTCTCATCATTTTACAATGGAAAATGATAACATGTAAGGTTATTTCTAATAGTTTCTTCTCTCACACTTCTCACTTGTAGAACTCTTTTTTGGCTTCTTGCTTTCTTGTCAACTATAATCTTCAAAAATTTAAATGTAATGTCAATCACCATCTTTTGTTTTTTTGAATCCCATTCTTTTATTGTCCTTTCTCCTCACAAATGTTTTTCGCATTTTCTTTCACTCTCAGTAACCTTTTACGTCTTAACGTTTTTATTGCCTTGCTTGGAGCGAAATGATTAAAATTTAATCCTGAGTCATTTTGATAAACAATAGTAAGGGAAACCAGTTTAATTTGATTTACAGCATTTCAACCTTTTTCAGGTTATCTAATTCTGCCATTTTGATAAACGACAGAGAAGTAGCTAGACACAGATCTGATTTGTGCAATAGTGAAAAAACACAGAAATGTGTCCAGCTTATACAAGAGCCAAAAACGTAGTCATGTGTCTGGCTTACACAAGAGACAAAAACATAGACAGTATAAAGTGCTGATTATGAGGATATGTAAGATAGATAATGGTGATTTTAAACTTTTTCTTTTTTTTTTTTTTAATCTTTTCACTCCAAGCAAGCCAGTAATGCCACTAGTGCACAGGGAGGTACAGGGAGTGAAAGTGAGAGAAAAGACTGCATATAGGGAGGATTGAGGAAAGGACAAAAGATGAACAGGATTCAAGAAGACATAAGATGGCGATTGACATTGAATTTAAATTATGTTAATCATTTCACTCCAAGCAAGGTTGAAATGCTACTAGTATGCAAGCGGGGGGTTACAGGGAGTGAAAGTGAGAGAAAAGACTGAGTATGGAGAGGATTGAGGAAAGGACAAATGATAAACAGGATTCAAGAAGACAGAAGATGGCGAATGACATTGCATTTAAATTTTTGAAGATTGTAGCTATCACGGAACCAAATAAACAGAAAGGAGTTCTACATGTGGGAAATGCAAGAAAAAAACCGTTGGAGTAGAAGTGGCAGTTACATTTAACTATTTCAACAGTAAAAAAGTGGGACCTAAATGCCAATCTAGTAGCACACTTAAATTCATGTAGTCGGGGCACCAGGGGTGGGGAAAGCTCGTCAGAGCAGTTGCCATGAAAATATTTGTAGAAAAGAACGACAGAAACCCAAATAAATTGTTATTTGTTGATGAACAAATCTTTATTTTCTTGTTCATTTTAAATTCACTTGTTTAAAATGCCTTGCTTAATCGTTCTGTTGTACCTTGGGTTAAGAAGCTTGCCTTAAAGCTAAAATGAAATCTTCAAGAGTGCTTTGTTCATTTTAAAAAAATTCATTTTAAACCTTAGGTATCGAAAATTTATACCGAATTAATGGAGATACCCAAACTAAATACTTTCTACGTCCCATAAGTCAACTAGTTCCATAATCTGTTCCTGAGAAAGTCACTATCCCCAAGAAACTCCGGAAAAAGTCATTTTTCGATTCTGATAAGTGACGTCTCCTAAGAAAGAGTTATTAAATGTTTTTTAATCTTTTAATTCAAAGAATAAAACTTTTTTGACAATCGTCGATAAAGCGCTTTCGTTTCCTTTTCGTAAAATTGAAAAAAATAGATACCTAAAGGACAATATTATTTTTTAAGCTTATAACTACACGAAGTAGAGTTAGGGATATACTTATAATACAAAATTAAAAGAAAAAAAAAGTACTTTTAAACTTCAACTTACCGAACACGTGTTCCTTCCTTCAGCAAAGATGTCATGATGGAATAAAAAAATAAGATTACCGTAATTTAGTATTGACAGTCGTAAAAAAATATTTTGAATATATAAATTGTAAAAAAAAAAAAGAACTCGTAATTTTTCTTCATCAATATAATGATTTCGTTTTTATTGCTTCGGCACTGATAAATTATGAATTTTAAGTCTATATAAGCAATATTTCCAGAAAAATACGAAAGAAAAACAAACAACCATTTACGACATTAAAGGGGAACAACTCTCAAAAACTAATGACTTACTTCCCTTGTATTATAAATATAATCAGGCATTTCGACGAGGTGAAATGATAGGCAAACTTGGAACGGTGATATAAACTGTTCAGTGTTGTCAAACTCTCCGTCTCGACGGAGAGAAACCAGGACGAAGCTTTGCCAAACGGCAAAGTTTCGTCCGGAGAGATAGACAATAGGGAATATTTTTAGCCGAGACTACGGGCTCGGAGAACCCACAATAAACCGGCCTTTTGTCACATACGACCCACATGGGGGGGGGCGTTAAATACAATGATTAGCAAACTTGTCTCGCTAGAGATCAATTACGACGCGGAATGAAAGGGGAACAACTCATATCGAGTTATACTTATAAAACCCAGGTTGTGTGTGTGTGTTTGTTTGTTTGTTTGTGTGTGTGTGTGTGTGTGTGTGTTTGTGTGTGTATGTGTGTGTTCGTTTATATATGGGATCGGATTTCCTACATTTTTCAACTGATTTCAACAAAACATCACTTTTTTTGGCAGGTAGTGTTTCTTATTGTCTTGCACACTTTTTTCTTTATTTTTACATTCAGAATACTTTAAAAATTCCATTTACAAGACAATTGTTTATAATAAAATTCTATTCAATCGGTAGACTCATAACGATTGAAAACAATGATTTTGTTTGAGTTTGGGTTTGACCAATTCGTAAAAAAAAAAAAAAAATAACAACAAAAAAACAAAAAAAAACTAATTAAGACATGCGTGTCCGTCAACCTTAAACAATAATCTTTGTCAATTTTATTTTTCAGTCTTCATGATGGTCGATACTTGATCTATCTCTTACTGTTACATCCCCGGGCAACGCCGGGCTCTACTGCTAGTTTAATATATTAAAATTTAAAGCAAATTAGTAAATTTTTCAATAGAAAAAGAAAGATGATTTCCAGGTTAAGTTATTTCCCTTGTTCCATCTATAACTCCAAAAACGTTGCCACAATGGAAATCTAATCCGAAATATTTTTAATTTTCAGTTTTTACTTTTTCAAAAAAATCGGTTTCAATCCCATGAAAGGCAGAAAAGCCACTGAGACACAAGGGCTTGCTGGGTGTGGAACAATTGTGGTGTGCTGAGGTTTTGGTTAAGTACAAGAGTTCGATTCGGCTCCCCCTATCACCACTAGCAGCCAAAAAGCCGGGATAGATCAAGTAGTATTTTTTTTTAGAAATTCAAATACAAATACTTCTCGCGATTATTGACATGATATAACTGGAAATACAAACATAAATACAAGTAATTTTATTCCAAATTCCAAAGATACAAAAACAAATGCAAATACTTGTGAAACTAGACAACAAATCTAAATCTAAATGCTTTTTCACACAAATACAAATAAATGCTTTGAAAAAGTATTTAAATACAATTCAAATACATTTTTATTTGATTCGCCACTACTAACAAGCATTGTGCATTGACAAAACCTGAATTAAAAAATGTCAAGACTCTAGCAATTCATTTTTGAAAATTTTTAGGTCAAGGGAGAACAAAAGACACACACTCTGACCTTAAGAACCTGCTAATATATTTTTCTAATAGAGATTGGACGGTTAAAAGGCGAACCGCCCCTTTTTTGAAGGGGAAAGGAGAACTGGGATTGGACCTTAGTAGCAGTTGGAAACGAGACCGCTTAGAGACAGGAGGTTGTTTCTCTCTCCCGGATGAAAAGGCAGGCAGCGTTTGCCCGTAAAGGAAGGATGCATGGGTAACAAAGTTGCTGAGGGCAAGTTTCCCCTTCAGAGAAAGTTTTGAGAAGTCCGCTCGAAGAAGCCCAGAAAAGTTGAAAAGAAATTCATAAATTAAGTTTGGAGCTAAAGCCGTTTGAGAAGAAGGAGCAAACACGTGCGTTTTCAGAAAGCGTTTTACCACGTGTTTAAGTAAATTTTCACCTTTTAGCAGCCGTAAAAGAAAGGTGTAATTTCCCGGCGGACGGGAGGAAAATAAGTGAAGAAAGGAGGGAGTTTGGTCACCAAGAGGAGAACCTTGTCGACACAAGAGAGAAAAGAAAAAAGATAAAAACTTTTGAACCTTGAAAGGACTGAAAGTGTAAGGAAGACGCCATGAACATTATATACACATACACGTACGTACGAACATTCACCACACACGCAAATGTTATTGACTATGTCCATTGTAAAATTGTGTTGTTTAAACAAGACCGATATATATGTTTAATATATATATTTGTTGACATATATATATATCGGTCTTGTTTGTTTTCTTTCATTTTCGGTTGGACTAAATTTGATTCCGCCATTTTCTTGTCGCTGGGCCTTCTTCTAGCAGGAAATAAACGCACGTGTTTCCCAATTCAGCAACTTAAACCACACGGCCCTCTACAAACAGATCATCGCCGTAAGATATTGTGAAGTTGAAAAGCTCAATTGGTGTTTTGGTTTAACGAAGGCACTGTCTTTTCTTTTTTGTATTAACATTCGGCAGTCTGTAATGTCGCGACCATGTTCTATTATAGTGATAGAAAAATAATAAGTTCACGATTTCAAAAATAAAAAATAGAAGGCTAAAAGTTGCCAAACCAAAAGAAATAAAGAAATAAATAAAAGAGAAAAATAACGAAATAAATAAAAGAGGTAAAAAAGATTATCATTTCTAAATGTAGGTGGAGATAAACGGGATTGTCAAATGAGTTATTTCTGGAACCAATCAAAATCAAGAACTATTCAGGAATAAATTTTATTGTCTTTAAAAAAAATGTGTCAAGACAGATAGTGATGGTCAGGCAAACGGACCAGACCAGCCTTTGAAAAAAAATTCATCCGCTGTCCTTTACCCTCAAGCTTTGGAGACACCTAAAAATCCCACAGAGAGAGTCAAAAGAATTACTACTATCAAGAAATACTTACATACCTACCTACACATTAACAAAGACACTCCCTCTCTCGCTCTCTCTCTCTCTCTCTCTCTCTCTCTCTGTTATAGTGGAACACACCTATTCTATAGTTAATAGACTCTCCCAACTATAATAATTAAGAGTAGTAAGAGTAACGAGTCGCTCAGTGAGTCGCTCAGTCAGTCGATGCCGGACGACCGTAAGTCGGATACTAAAAGTATCAGCGACCACAACTAGATTACTGCGTCATACCTATTATATGAAGTTCCTAACTTTTGTACGTCGAACCTATTTTAGGACCGACTTAGTACAAATACAAGCCTCCACTGTGAAATCACTCCATAACACTCTCTCTCTCTCTCTCTCTCTCTCTCTATATATATATATATATATATATATATATATATATATATATATATATATATAGAGAATATATATATAGAAAATTTCTCGGACATTCAGGCCGGTAAATGTTGTTAATACTGTTTATTATAAACAGAGCATTTACTTAAATATTTGTATCTATAAAAAGAATGTATAAACATAAAAAATGTCTTAATATATATATATATATATATATATATATATATATGCTCAGTGCTCAATGTAAATTTACAGAGTATAAATAACTAATAACTGATACAACAAAAGTTAATAAAAATGAACAAACTACCACCCCTTGTCTGAATGATTGGATCTCTCTGTATCCTTGGAAACAGTGAATTATGAATTTTTGTGTGCGTTTAAAACACAGTAAATTAAAAAAATAAGTTACTCCAATATTCGCTTGAAGATGAAATGGAACTAATGTTTTTAATTTAATTACAAAATTAAATTTGAAGTTTTTCTTTCATTTTTGAAACATGGTTATTACTGTGTAGCGAAAAAACATATTTTAAACCAGTTAATTTATAATATATATATTAAGGACTGGCAAACTCTCAACACGAGAACTTTCTGATAAGAACTTATTGATATTTTGAAAGATATAAATTTTTATCAGTACATGCAATATATATCTTTGTATTAATTATCATACATTTTTAAAAGGCCATAAATTGGTGTATATTTGAATAAAGAACTTCATCCGAAGATAACCACCCCTAAAAAGTAAACCCCTACTTTGGTGACTTTCACATCTAAACACAAATTTCAGCGACTCCCACATTATTCCATCAAAATGACCCTCGTACGCTGCAGCAGCTACTTAGCATTTTTCTACAGTGTCTTTCTTCGAGTCATCGTTCGACTGAGGCTTTCAATATCCAAGAGGAACCCAAATTGCTCATGTAATTGACTCAACCTTGTAAATCGATCTTTCAGTTCTGTATTCAACCTTGTCCAGTGCTGCCTTCAAGGTAACATCCATTTATTCCCTCGCATTTACTGGTTCAAAATGGATAAGATCTGGAAATCCAATCTTGCTCGTCAATTCAAAATCCAACTTTTCCGCGTACTTATTGAGCCAATCTTGCTCTATGGCTCTGAAACTTGGACTCTCTCAGCAAAACAACAGCGCCGTTTAGATGGATGTTATACACGTCTTTTAAGAAGAGTGCTTAATCTCTCATGGCGAAACCGCCCAACTCTACAAATGATATATGGTGACTTGCCAAGAGTATCAACTTTAGTTTGCAAGAGACGTGTCCAGTTCGCCGGGCATTGTGCACGTGCCACAGATGAACTTGTGTCATCATTTGTACTCTGGAGGCACCCATCATCTGACAATCGATCACGCAAGTTAACCTTTCCAGATAGGATAAAACGAGACACATTGATCCCTAAGGAAGATCTTTTAGGAGCTATGACGGATAGGGAATACTGGAGAGGTGTAGTGAGTTCAATCTCGGCTGAGGCCGCAGGATGATGATGATGATTACTTGTTCATCTTTCGTCTTCTCTCCAGCCATTCATCTTTTACGACGCACCCTTCTCAGTTACATTCTAACCATTTTACTTTGCCTTTTGTAATTGAATTTTTACCAAGATAATCCCGTTCACTCATAACAGATTGTTGTAAACTTTAAATGTCAGCTCGAGCTTCATTGAAGTTCATTCTAGGGCACTGAAGTCTCTTCTGTACTCGGTCGATGGATGTAAAGTTATTCCAGAACTGCAGTATAGTTAGAAAGGCGAAACTTTGCATATCTTGTATCAGGGGAGCGCTTTACAGATGCCTCGTCTCCTTCAATTTCTCCCACCTCATTTTTGAGCTTGGGAATAAATTGTACAATGAATCAAGAACTCCAAAAAATGATATAGTAAACACGTGTTCTGGCGCTGCATGCACTGCTACGAGTTTTAAAGAATGGTTGTCACAATTTTCAAAGATCGCTTTCGGGTTTCTCTGTTATATGCGTGTCTGGATACCGGACACCTTCCCAGCCATTGTTGACGCATTGTCATACGTGTGTCCACGACAGTCATTCAAATCAAGAGCAACCTGTTCCAATTTTGAGGTAATTTCTTTTGTAACATTCTCGGCGTCTTTTTCATGAATTTCTTTGACTAAACCAGTTTTAGATTCGTTGTCAAGTGACAAACCTGATAATTCCAGACACTGGTTCGTTGTGAGAAACGTCAGGAGTTGTGTCAAACATAATCCCATCGTGTCTGATTTTTTTGAGTCTGTAGGATAGACTGAAGTACTTCGTTGACCAATAGCACAAGGAACTCATTTTGTATTGATGTGGAAATGGCAAGGTTTTTAGGTTTCGCCGTGAGTACGTTTCTAGAATCCTCGTCGCCACTGATGTGGGGCCAAAGTTGGGACCACAGAAGTAAAACACGGAACACGGATTAGATGTAAGAAAGATATATTAACCACAGGTTACAGAGATAGTGTAAGCGGAGCTTACTATATCATTCTCTGTCACTTTCTAGAGTGCTATGTCGCCTACTTAATATAGGCCTGGAAGAGTCTATTGTGTAGGTAGTTTCCGGTCTCACAATATGTATCTTGCCAAACAAAAATGTTGCAGAATGTGAATGCGACTTCACATAATCCAAGAGACGCTGCAACAGAAGGTCGTACTTGTTAAGTAGCTTAACGTGTGCAAGAAAATTACCGAAATTATTACTTGATGCAATGACTTTTCAGTGTCCACGCAATGCCAGATGTCGAGTCGCCAAAAACTTGATACCCTCACAGACGTGCATTCGCCTCCCTCTGTCTTTTTTACAAATAACTTCATGGTAACTGCTGCGGGGAGCTGTTTTCGCTGGTTCCCAAACTTCATGAATTTATGCGTTCTACTAGGCTAGCATATCGCTCACACCCTTTCACTGTCGAAACTGTTAAATGTAGCCGTCTCTTCTACTCCAATAGCTTCATGTCTCGCACCTCTCGCCTGTGGAACTCCCTCCCCTCTTCCTGTTTCTCTGATGCCTTGATCTATCCCCTATCCTTCTCTTCATCCTTTCCTCTATCACTCTTCTTTGCTCTAGCTTCAAATATCTGTAACACCTTGCAGGCTAGTGGTTTTCCGCCTGGCTTGGGGTGAAACGCTTAAAAAGAAATCCATAAAACGCCTGAGCAGACCCTTCCACAATTGCTTCAGTATTACTCTGTCAATCGTACGCCATTCTGATATGCGTCTCTCAAAGTCTTTCATTCAAGAAATGACGAACGGTGATGAGTGACCTGTTTATGTTCTGGTATTCTTTCGCTGCACTTTTTTTTCCATTTTCGAAATCCACAAGATTTCCTGTTCCAGTTTTGTTATTCTTTTGAAATCCAAAAGATTTTTCGAATACCGTTCCTTGGTTGGCTGGGGCGGTTGGAAACAATAAACAGCAAAAACTGCGTCATTTTTAATAGATTAAAACAATGCGGAATCGTAGACCCATCCTGTAGTTTTCTTTGAAACCAGTAATTTGTGAAGCTGCGGTTGGCACCCACATGTTTTGTTCTCCTTTCACTTCTCGTCGCTTTTTCGATACGTCGGCTCTTAATAACCTCCCGATCTTTTGTAAAATTTAAAAGTGCCGCCCTTGTTCTGAAAAGATTTAGGACCCATCTTCAACATTTGTACGAGTAGATCATCAAGGATTTGTGGTTTATCGCAATTTACATCAAAATCTAAGTAACCTACATCTTTTTTGGTTAATATTGCATATTTAGTGTCATCATATTATGTCTATATCTCTGAGATGAGGTATTATGACTACTTGCATTATTTACATTATTCGGACGCTTATCCTCATCTTCATTGCCATATTCACAACATTTCGGCCGTTGTACGCTCTGGCCTTCTTCAGGTGATTGGATCTCTGAGATGATGTATTATGATTTTTTGCATTATTTACATTACTCAGACTGTTATCAACATCTTCATTGTCACATTCACAACATTTCAGCCGTTGTACGCTCCGGCCTTCTTCGGGTGATTAGATCTCTGAGATGAGGTATTATGATTTCTTGCATTATTTACATTATTCGGGCGCTTATCCTCATCTCCATTGCCATTTTCACAACGTGTCATAGCAACCGTTTTTACCAGTGCTCATATTGCATTTTTTTATTATTGCATTTTTAACCAGAGCCGACCAAGCATAGAAATGAATACAATATGGAACCAGTAATAAGGAGTACTTGAGAAAAGCAATGAATAACAACAAAAAAATTGGAATATAAGCTCTGGTAAAAAATGCAATATGAGCACTAGTAAAAATGGTTGCTGAGACATTAGGTTTATAAGTCACAAAAATTCATACACAGATGTTATCAAGGCGTTGGTTCGGTGACTAGATTCAAAGAGTTGTGAGTTCAATACAAGACCACAGCAGTGGTGAACGAAAACTTGGAGGTTAGAGTTAAAGGGAAATAACTGCGATATCCGAAAGAGGCATGGTACGTAGAACTAGAACATTTTACACCGGTGGACGAAATGAAGGATTCGGTTTTGTTAGGGGAGACAACTCTCCTCTAACGAATCATTGACTCTTCACGAAAAAAAGGGTAGTATCAGACAACAACATGGCTGGTGGACAATACACCACCTGTAGACAGTGAATTGTTTATCCAACCCAATCCTGCTGTATCGCGGTCGGTGAGAATAAAAACGAATATTGTTTTATTTCAAGATATATTTAACTGTGTTTTGTTATATTTTGTTGTTCCTAATGTTTTGGGTTCCAACTGGTTTGAAATTCCAATCACCTGAAGTAAGCCGGAGTGCACAACGCCCGAATCGTTGTGAATATGGCAATGAAGATGAGGATAGTAGTCCGAATAATATAAGTAATGCAAGTAATCATAATACCTCGTCTCAGAGATATAGAGGCTGAAAGGTTGTGAATATGGCAATGAAAATGAGGATAATAGTCCGAATAATATAAGAAATGCAAGTAATCATAATACCTCATCTCAGAGATATAGAGGCTGAAAGGTTGTGAATATGGCAATGAAGATGAGGATAAGAGTCCGAATAATATAAGTAATGCAAGTAATCCTAATGTGCATGTTCATCAGATTGGCAAGGAAACGAAGATGGAGGATAGTCGGAAGCATCCAATAAAAACCATTTCCTTTACCTTCAATGGTAGAGGCGGTGGTGCAGAAGGTGTTGTTAGTGTTAGCAGCACTGGTGAAAATAACGATTGCTCCACTGACCCTGGTGCTGTGTCTGTGTAGTCAGAGCCAGGGGAAAAAACAAGTGGGAAACAACGCGATTGTCACTATCTACATCTTGACATGGCATTTTTTAGAAACGTCTTGATAACTTGACTGGATTTCTGTAGATCTTCGCGTTCTCTTTTTCTACGATTTTTTCCTTCACATTCTTTTGCTGCCCATGACGCACCATTCTTTAAATTTCAGCCTTAAATAAAAAGGAAATAAAAGTATAGCTGTCCTCCCCCCCTCAGTTATATAAAGATCGTGAGGCTAATTTGTCTTATACGGGTGTTTATTGTCAACCGAACGACAGCACTATGGAGCCTTAACGTGACAACGCCATGACACCGTGACACTGTTCCACCGTAGTTAATACCTTGACAACACCATCGTGAAGACTGAAATAAACAAAAGGGATCACTATCAGAATCTATTCTAACTTAACAGCCGAATACATATATATGTTACAATAAAGTATTTTCTCCTATATTCTCCCGTCCTGGGTAAGACGATAAATTACATCCAGCAGCAAGGCCTCTGATCAGGAGGTTTTGAGGAGTGTGGAACCACCTCTTAATTGCTGGTGTTCCCAGGTTCACCCTGGCCCTGGGTGGTAGCACCTGCTAGGGTCCCAACTATGGGCAAATAGTTGACACCCAAACTGAGGTCAAAACACTATGAAAGTGTAAAAATAGGTTTTAATACAAGAAATACTATCACCAGCAATAAATTTTTGAAAAGAAAAAAAATATTACCAGCAATACATTTTTGAAGGAAAAATATTACCAGAACTAGATTTTTGACAAAACAAAATATTACCAGCAATAAAAATTTTGTCGGGATTAAATGACCCATTGAGGTGTTGATATACCGTAAAACAAACCAAACCTATATTCTCAGCGGGAGTGCACGGTTTTCCGTAATAAACTTCAAAAGTGCTTCATTGGGTTTCTCGGCGTTGTATAATCTTCTTCTTCTTCTTCTTCTTCTTCTTCTTCTTCAAATAAATAAATAAATAAATAATAATAATAAACTGTTATGAACACCACCCAGACCCGGTTACGGAGATAGGACCTGTTACAATTCTATGGGACTACGCAATACACACTGACAGAACAATCAAAGCCAACCGCCCAGATATTGTTATTAAAGACCACAAACAAAAAAGCGCCTCCTTATTGATATGGCAGTCCCTGCAGACTGCAATGTATCTTTGAAGATATTCAAAAAGCTGTCAAAATACAAGGACCTTGAAATAGAAATCTCAAAAATGTGGCATATGGGAACATCAACAATCCCCGTTGTAATTGGAGTCCTAGGATTGATTGGAAAAGATTCCAGTAGACTAATTGAAGGGATTCCTGGAAGTCCATGCCTCAAAGACATACAAAAAATTGTTCTGACAAATACAGCCCAAACTTTATGAAGGGCTTTATCTATGTAATTTTTTTTTTCAGTGGAAAGTGTCATGGTGCCATTTCTAACCTTAGGTCCCTGGGCGGGACCCGGAAAGAAATGTGTAAACGCCAGAAATCAAGGGAAATAAAAATAATGATGATGATGATGATGATGATGATGATGCAGTGAAGACTACAAAAACACCCTGCAAAACTTTTGCCATCGCTAGTTTATCGTCTTACCCAGGACGGGAGAATAGAGGGGAAAATGCTTTATTGTAACATATATATGTATTCGGCTGTTAAGTTAGAATAGATTCTGATAATGACAACTAAAATTGTGCCATAAAACACGTGAATGTTTTCTCATCAAACCCATGTATATGGGAATATACGGCACGTTATATCCGATACTGAGTTACAATAACATCATTATGTCTAAATATTTTATTTATTCATATAAAATGCTATGATCTAACAAATGAGGCGAGGAGTAAAATTATCATTATTATCATTTTACAAAGAAACGCTGGGTTTACCATCTCAGGGATACATCTTAAAACATTAATATGGATTAGTTTTCAAT